CAGATGTTGCCCACACCTCTCCAGGGAGAGACGTGGAAGCGCCTCCGACATGGAATGGATCACATCCTTATACTCACATAAGAGTAGAGCCGTCACGGGAGATTCATGACTGTTAGATTTTAGTTAAAGACAACAGCGTTCTTAACTGTTAGTATTGTGCCTGTAACTTGATCTATACCTTACCTTTTGTACTTTGCATGCAACTTGAAAGCTTAAGCATCTTGCCTTTTTTACCTTTTAATAAAGTTAATTTTAGAATAGACTCCTTGCCTGAGGATTTATTCATGGCAGAGTGTCCTGGTTAATCTAATCCAAAAACCAAGTTACCCATCCAAACTACTCTGATTACTCCATGGTACGCACAGAGTGGAAAAAGAGTGGAATTTCCAGAGGCATGGGGGCAGCGGAATCATAGACACAATGATATGCTGAGGCTGTGAGGGAGCCAGCCAGGGTTTTCTCTCACCCGGCAGTAAATTGGGCTAGCAAACTCCCAGCCATTCTGTCACAGGATGGAGTAGGGTTTAGATTTTGTGACTGAAAATTCTAGTTTCTAGTAATGGTTTCAATGTTGTTACTACAGCTCTCTAATTCTGTTGCTTTGGAACATGGATGCTGAAATAACATTACAAAACTGTTCCACTGCCTCGTGATTTTTACTAGGCCTCTCTTCCAAATTAATGCTAATTCAGTGGAATCTTTGGGATATGTAAATGTGTGTACTTGCTTGGAAAACACTGGATGTTTAAGTCCTTCTGTCTGCCAAATGTCAACTATTCTGTCACATTTTGGGTGTTAAATTCCAGCAGGCTGGTTTCACTTTAAGCACAACCATGCTTTCTAGATAATTTCAGTCTATCCCAAACTGTTCCAGTAAAAAAAAAAAATCTAAACACTTTCTCTCTTTAGCACCACATACATGGAACAGACATCATTTCAGAGAAAGTTGCCTTGGAGTTCCCAGCTTTCAACCTCCTATCTTAGCAACCTGAATTTGCCTTCCTTCAGCTACTGAATACACCCCAGCACTGTCACCCTGTCTATACAAAGTCTGATCAAAGAGTTCTTTCTATTTCTTCTTCTTCAGCCCCACCTGTGAATTTCAGAGATATTTCAGAAACAACACAGGGAATTTGGAAAATAGAGCTAACCATACACAGGCCAACATACTGATTGGACAGGTTTGATGTTCACAAGCATACAAGTGAATAGATACAAATTTTTCCTGTTTTCAAAGTCACAGGTGCTGTTTTCCTTTAAAATATTTAGTATGCACCTACTCTAGTTATACATTTCTGCACAAACATTATGCTTCTGTTCCACTTTTATACTTGCATCATTGCACTGCATGCCCTTGTTCACTAGTACTGTATTGGGTCCAAAGAGTTATACTTGTCCTGAGAGGTTATTGCTTTTTGCTGAACCAGAAAGAGTTAATGCCACTTGAAGACCTCCCTTGGTTTAACCAGCACCACTGCTATCATAGGCCACTGGTGCTACTTAGGAATTCAGCTTGGCACATAGTGGATGGGGGGGCAGTCAAATTTGTCCCACATGTTGGCAGCAACAGTAGTGTGCCTCCCAACATGTACTGTTGATATAAATCCTTTATAGAACATTGGATGTGATTTATACCGTATTTTTCGCACCATAAGACGCACCTTTTCCCTACAAAACAGGGGGGTGGAAAGTCTGTGCGTCTTATGGAGTTTTAACTAAAACAATGCATGGCTTCAGTAACGCTATGCATTTTCCTATATATTCACAGGACTGTTGCATATTTATAGTGATGTAGGAAGTACGATTAACTTAGTCGTGTAACAAAGCACGCACATGTTATCTATCAAATCTTTCTAGGGCAGACTACAGTATTAACAGAACAAACTACTTTAAAAGCAGAGACTGAGTTAAAGAAAAGCAAATACAGTACCACTGACATGATATTCATGAAACCAGTTTCATAAACCAATATTCACAGAGATCAGACAATTCAGTAGAACCTTTCACAGTCAGCAATAACATTGCACGTTTTGGAGAAAACCACCTACTGCAGTTAACTAACTAAACAGCCACTGAACTTCAAACATTCTCAGAAGCACAGAACATACAAACCAGCTATTTACAATCTCTCCTTACGCAGAGTGTGCCACCAGTAATTTTTTCACTTCCACTGCAAATGACAAGGGTTCTCCCTGTTGATTTCAAGTATAAGATGTTTCTAATATTTTGCAGGAAGCGTTAATAGGAAAAAATCAATCAGAGATGGCTCCCAGAATACATAAATAAATAATATGATTAATCCCTTGGCAGCAGAATTCTTTGCTAATTCATAAAAACATTGATCCAACAATTGGCAGGAAAGAATAATGAGGTGATACTTTTAAACTCTACAGCCACACAGAGTGTCCCCTTGCGGAGCAGAAATTGATTGATTTGTCTCTCCCACATACTGTTAAAAATTGAAATGCCTTTGGACTTGGTTTTGATCTTCTGTCAACGCTTTCATTTTACTCAAAGATTTATGGGACCAAATACAGAAAAATGACAGTTTACAGCGGGAAGCAGTAAGAGGGAAAGAAAAGAATGTCCTTGCAACTGAAGAATATGTAATAGGATAGGGGGATAAATTGTTGATTTGTCCTCTTTGAAATATTCAGGATCAAAGTTTTTTAGACCAACCTTCTGCCCAAAGCAACTAATTATATCTCACAGAATGAGGCACACAATATGGTCTTTGTCTGCTGTGCTGCTATTGCAGTTGCTTCTATGATCATTTATTTTTTTTACATGCACCAAAGCCACAGAGTGCTACACAAAGTGAGGAAAGCACAGAATTTTTTTTTTGCAAGAATGTGCTCTGAACATTTCTGAACAAGATCAGCACTGATACTCTCTCATGGGATTCTTCAGCTCTGCTGGCTTACACTAATACGAGAAAGGATTTGGTAGTAGCACTGCTGTGGTTTTAGTCAGCTAGCACAGACGCTACTAGCCATAAGCTTTTGTATACAAGATGAGTGGCAAAGCCTGCACATGCGCAGCAAGCAAAGAAAAGGGAAATTCGCTTTAGGATGCAAATCTTGGGAGAAAGATAAAGACAAGGATCTAAGAGCCTTTGATGTGAGCAGCACCTTATATGGGGTATGGGAATTTTCAGTTTGGAATAAAGTACAGAAAACAATTTGAGGAAAGAGAAAGTAATACAGTATATTAATTCACTGTGCATATACAGTGGTACCTCGCTAGACGATGACCCCGCTGTACAATGAATCCACAGGACGGCGACTTTTTGCGATTGCTATAGCGATATGCAAAACAGCCATTCCTATGGGGGAATTCTGCTGGATGTCGATTAGGTCCGTGCTTCGCGGACTGTTTATTTGCAAGACGATGATCTTTACAGCTGATCGTTGGGTTCCTAAAATGGCTGCCCTGTGTTTTCTGGACCCATGCTTCACAGGGCAGCTATTTTAACAGCTTATCGTCGCTTGGAAAATGGCTTCCCCTATGGGCGATCTTTGCTGGACGACAAGGTAATTTCCCCATTGGAACGCATTAAATGGGTTTCAATGCATTCCAATGGGGAATTGTTTTTCGCATGACGACAATTTCGCTTAACAGCGATTTTCCTGGAATGGATTATCGTCGTCATGCAGGGCACCACTGTACTGTATGTGTTTGGAAGGAATAGGGGAGGACACTCACATATTGCCTCAAATCTTGGTGCTTAGTGTAATAAGTCACACTAGAGCAGCCCCACTGAATCAGTAGGGATGTTTTGAGTCAATTCCTACATAGGTCATGTCGATTCAGGGGAGGACACTCACATATTGCCTCAAATCCTGGTGCTTAGTGTAATAAGTCACACTAGAATCAGTAGGGATGTGTTGAGTCAATTCCTACATAGGTCATGTTGATTCCAATGGCCCTACTCTAGTCACAACTCACTTTAGCATAGTACTAGAGTCGGCCCATTTGAATCAGTTGAATTTATGGTGTTCACTCATCAAATCCTCACTGATTCAATGGGCCTGCTCTAGCATGACTTACTAAGCCAAGCAACAGGATCTTGGCCAGTGTCAGATTTTGAGACAAGACCAAGAAGAGAAATTCTTTAGAGAAATGCACAAAAAATGTGGTTGTTACGGCCTTTGCCAAAGACATGTTCCCTCACTCTTAAGCATGAGCATGTTCCTGAAGTGAATGTGAGTCAGCAGCAGTTATTCAGTGTCTATTGAGAAAAGCATTCTGCACATAATCAAGAGCCACTGTCATTCTTCCTCCACCCAATAGAGTGAAGTCTGGTACAGAGCAACACACCTTTCCTAACAAGAAAATGTTGCCCTCCTTCAAGTGCTGCCTTCCTCGGGCCTGTTGTTAGGAGCCCTCAGGAGTGATCGTTCTCATGTTTCTGCTAGGGCTAAGCCCTGCCATACCTCAGGTAAGGTTCATATTATCCACCCCTCCCCAACATTACAATGACATCTAGCAAGTCATCGTAGTTTCATAGTCTAGTTTCTGCTAACAAGCATTCAAATGAACAACAGCTTCCTCTGTACATAAGAAATTACAATTAATTTGCAGGTTGGGGCAGAAGCTTCTAATCTCATACCCAAAAGAGGTAGATGGTATTTCTCATTAATCTGAAATGGGTCACTATTCATCCCCCACTCAAATCAACAGAACAATGCACAGATAACTGCACGCTAACAGACAGCATGTGTTTGATCATGGCAGACCCCAGGAGTCCAGAGGAAGGTAGAAAATCTACCTCTTGTACCCGTGGACTGTAGCAAAGTTTATTTAATTATTAATCATAAATATCAACTAGTTTAACTTACAAAGGTTACAGTGCAACAGCCTTTAATACACAAATGCTCCTTATTGTTTCTCGTAACTTCAGTACAAAACCCGCATTTCTAGGATTAGCATGGGATAAAATTTCTCACAAGAGTATTTAAATATAAAATTGTTAATTTTCTGGTAAGAAAAACATTTACCTGATCGACTGTAGTGGCATCAGTGATCACAGCATCTGGTGGTCTTTTGGGTGGATTTGCAGGAGCCTAGTTAAATAAAGTATACAAAAATTGTGTGACTTTTTATTTACTGAACACCAACAATACATTTTTTTTAAAAAAGGAAAGGATGCTGCTTATATACTGCCCCCTAGTGCTTACAGCTCCCTCTTTGAAATTTAATTATGCAGGCTACACTTTGTACCTCACACCACCCATGAGCTAGGTACTCAGTTTACTGACCTTGGAAGGATGGAAGGCTGAGTCAACCTCAAGCTAGCTACCTGAGCCCAGAACTGAATTCAAATCATAAGCAGAGTCTTGACTGCAGTGCTGCAGTTTGACCACTATGCTATGGATACTTTATGCCTGGACACTTTGAATCTTACTCAGTTTTAGACAAATGGATGGAAAAAACCCAATCACTACTCATATATCATTACTAGAGGAGCTGTGCAACTAGACTGAACTAAAGGCCAGTACAGGGACCAGCGGGTGGAAGCACAAATTTAGTACAGTCCAGACCATCTTGCTAGGTATGCTACCCACACTGAGTTTGGATACAGGTGATAGATGAATGGAATACATCGCATGTAAAGTTAACAAAATCATGCAGCCCTTTGGAAGGTCAATTATCAGGTTCTGGTCCAAAATATATTATTATTAATTTCTTTTTGATGTCATAAACATACATCGATTGCATCTTCCAATTCTATTTATTTATTTATTTATTTATTTATTGGACTTATATACCGCCCCATAGCGCTACAAGCACTCTCCGGGCGGTTTACAATTTTAATTATACAGGCTACACATTGCCCCCCCAGCAAGCTGGGTACTCATTTTACCGACCTCGGAAGGATGGAAGGCTGAGTCAACCTTGAGCCGGCTACCTGGGATTTGAACCCCAGGTCGTGAGCACAGTTTTAGCTGCAGTACAGCGTTTTAACCACTGCGCCACGAGGCTCTTGTTCCATTTTGGTTTTCACGGCCAAAGAGCCCGAAAAAACCACAACAACCAAAAGTCTTCTAGTTTTCTTGTTGCTATATGGGAATATTTTGGAGAAGTTGTGGACAATATGTGTATCTCCCTTCCCCAACCCATCATAAGACATTCAAAGTATCTGTGCTTTGTACAGTTGAGGCTTGAAGTTTGAAATCTGGAGGGCTTTAGAAATGAACATCCATACTCTGAGCATGGAAACTGCTCAGATGTTCAGGGCAGGTCCTAACAGGCTTGCTGTCAGGCACCAATATCAATGCTTCCCATACCTAAGCCCAAGAGAAGGGGAAGAAGATGCTTTTCCGGTTCAAACCCACAAAGCCAGAGACAACATGCCAAAAGGAATGGATACTCCCAATCTTTTTTTTCCCACTTTGTACCCCTTGGCAGTCTACCTACATAAGTTGTAGCTTCCGCATTAGCACAATGTTTGTAATTAATGTGGTTGCTAGACTCACAAGACTAGGGAAAGGCATGAACCTGAAAAATGGTGGTTTGTAATGGTTTGTGGTTAGTTCACAATTTGGTTTTTGGTTCATGCCTGGTGCCTGTGGGGGCACCTGCACCTGTTGTGTCGCCGCTGCCTCTTCCTCAGATGCCATTGGTTTGTGGTTAGTTCACAATTTGGTTTTCGGTTCATGCCTGGTGCCTGTGGGACCACACCTGCTCCTGTTGCGCGCCGCTGCCTCTTCCTCAGATGCCACGTTCTGAGCCGGCGACCAGGCTCCTTGCAGGAAAGCCAGGGCGCTGTCTGTGAGCATGCGCTCATGGCCGAGCGGATCGCCCTGATCAGCTGGGAGGTGGGTGCAAGCTCAGAGGTAATGACCAGCTTCCCTGCAAGGAGGCCGGTTGCTGTTTTGGAACAGGGCACCTGGCCACCTGGAGAGGGAGCAGCGGCTTGGTGGCAGAAGCAGGTAGACTGAGGTGACGGGATGGGCAGTGGGGATGGGGGGTGGGCAGGTGATCCCGGTTTGCCAAAGCAAATGAAATGCCAAGGGGGGGAAAGTTCAGTGTTCTGTGTTGCTTCGGGAAAAACGGCAGCCCTGCATGGGTCATGTACCAAATCACAAACCAGCCTGTTTTTTTCCTAGTTCATGTCCATCTCTACACAGAACTAACTTAGGGTTAGGGTTAGATATACACTGATAGTGGCACAATGCAACTCTAACGTTTGCAAAGCGGAGAAGAATAAAAGCTGAGCCTGTCGGGGCGCGTCACCAAACATGTCCATTGTAGTGGCGCGTTCACAACACACTGTTTAGGTCAGGACGCTCTATTTTTCACCAAAATAACAAAGTGAAGGGGACAGGGCTTTTCTCAAAATTAAATAACGAACAAAACATGCTTTGCCACTTCTCATAATGTTCAACTAATTTCACAACTTTTGACTTGTATCTTGTCTTACACTGTTGAACTATATGCCTTTTCCTACCATTATTCATTTTCTTCCATGTACCCTTAATGTCCTGGTTTGTACTCCTGGGACTTCCCAGGTTGGGAATCGCTGCTCTAAAGCATGTGGAGAGCCAAAGTGTCCATGCTCCTTTTAAAGGCAGAGGGGATAACCACTGAAAGCATGGACAACAGCAACATATGCATCATCATCTCTGAGGCCTGGTCAGAGCACTGGTTAATGTCAAGGAGCACATGAACTAATGTCCGGTGTTCCTTGATGTCAACATGCATGCGAACTTCCACTGGCCTAACAATGGGGTTTCTGCCACCTGCTCTCCTGTCCTCCATAGTTCATTCCGACTTTACGGAAAAAAAATGGGAATATGGGGAGAGACCGATGGAGAACATAGCTAGGAAGCTTATTACGAGGCAGAAGACATCTCATGGAAAAATTCTAATTCAATGACAAAGTAGAAGAGGGTGCATGTTAGCACTGTTTTAAATAACTGGGAAGCAATGAACAACATCTTTAAGTTCAGTTGGAAACACAGCTGTCTGGGCATACACAAATACACTCATTTGTCATATAAAACTATACTCAGCTTACCTTAGCTTTCTCAGATGACCGTTTCCCACCAAAACCTCCAGCCCCAACAACGAAGACAGTGAACTGATTATAGCACAGAAGTTCCTTTCCAGAGTATGTGTGGACTAAGTAGGAAAACAAGGCCAACAAAGAAGCAGTCTAAATAATTGTGCCAAAAATGTCTTCCTTTCAGAAATGAAATCTCAGAATGATCTGACTGCATAGCATTTACTAGGAGTGTAATTCTAGTCCTTTTTTTCAGCCAACTCCCCCCATCTGATGGTTTTTCCAGTTATGACAGGACTGGACCGGAGACAAGCTCTGTCAGTTGGAAGGACAAGCCGAGTCCTGACAACCTCTCACACATCCATGGAGAAGTTTGTGAGTGCAGATTGACCACTGGCAGTGCTCCTGTGCCTCTCGGGTCCAAGATGTGCTGGCCTGAGATATGGACCCAGTCTTGGAACAACTGGATAAGTCGACCTGGAACTGGCATACTTAATTTTCCCCTCAAGTTGATACAAATGAAAGTGAATAAAATCAACACCATCACTATCATCACCAACAACAGCACGAGGTTGAAATAAGTCACACAGAGACACTACCTATTCCTAGTTCTCACCTTGGTCAGTATGAGCCAGCTTAGGTATCTACAGGTGATATTTTGTTCCTCTGACATACTTCAAGCAGGTAATTTCTCTTAAGGCCACATATTCTAAATAAATAGCCGATGTCACACTGAGACAAACATTTTCAATTGAGAACATTTTTAGTTGTGGCATCCTCTCAGTGGAAGCTCGAGCGGTGCCAACTTTGGTTATAAATTTTGGCAAAAGGCAGTCATTTAATTTGCCCAGACTATTTGGCATCTAGCGTGTAAGCCCTGGTAGCCTTTGCTGATCCATCCAAGTGAATTTGTCTGACTATTCCTGCTGAATTTTATGGTTTCTCATTAACTGCTATTTTGATATCTCATCTCTTTGCTGATGTTGTAAACATTTGTTTTTTATATATTCTGTTACAAGCTGCCCCTAGGATTTTGTACTGAAGACAGACATACAAACACCCTAGCTAAATAAATACCTATGACTTGTGTGCTCTCCCAGCACACATCATTATGTAAATGCAGTACATATGCCCTCCAGGCAGGTTCCACATTTTCTCTCAAAAACATTTGAGCTCCTGAATTCTAAACCTGCAGGCATTCCAGATGACAAAGATATATGCAGACAAACACTAACTGCTCTACAGGCTTATTACCTTTGTTTGGCAAAATACCAAGGCCACTTCATATATTACATTTCTAGAGATATGATAATGTAATTCAGAAATTGTCCTTAAGACAAGAGAAGACTGTAATAAATATTGTAATAAATATTACAGGTTCCCTTAGAGATGGCTTCAAGGCAGTTAGGAAAGAACATCCCACTTTAGAGACTGCATTCTAACTAATTTATACCCTTTGAACTTTAAGGCAATAAGAGTTACCATCTAGAAGTATAACACATCCCGAGCCTTTATCAAGAATGTCAGCAATAGTGGCTTCTGAAGTTAATCTTCCTAAAATCAAAAGGAAACATCACATAGGGAAGCATCAAGAATAATTTTTAATTTTAAAAAATTCACAGAAAAAAATAATAGCTAGTATTGACAATAGTATTAGAAAACGTGTATCAAATAGCATGGCATTGTCTGAAACTTGGATCAAGGAAACAGGTACACACAATAGTAAGTACTGAAAAAAGAATGGTGTGGTGCTTAGCCTGCCCCTAGATATGTGGCACAAGGCTGGTTTGGCTGGCTGAGCATTCAGAATTATGCTGTGGATGTTCTTTAATATGATTAGAAGCTAAGACCATTATTTTCTGTTTTTTGGAAAACACTGACTTCAAATCCCCACTGAGGCACTGCCACCGTCACCCATGCCACGAGCGAGTAGACCGGGTAAGTGGGGCTTTCAAACCCCCACTGAGGCACTGCCATCGTCACCCATGCCATGAGCGAGCAGACCGGGTAGGTGGGGCTTCTTAACCTGGGAAGGCTAGGAGAAGGAAAACACATATTCCAAATCTCCACTGCCTTGTGGCTATATACACTGATGGAAAAGGCTTCAGGAGTCACCTCGAGGCAAAATCCAGAGCCGGAGTCCCGGAGGCAGTTTGTGTTATTCTGGCAACTCCTGCAACATTGCTGGAACCAGTTGTATTGGCTCTTATCTTTCCATTGGACTGTTTCAGTGATGTAGAGAGGGGGGATTTGCTGCTCGGGTAACAGCCTATCCTCCATATTATTTTAACCAGGCTTCGTGACCTGGACAGAACACTCCAGCTTTGCATACAGCATCGAAACACTAGACGCTGTTCCAAGTCCTCCATACAGAGCACGTTACCATAGTCTCTCGAGACTGAAGGAAGCCTATGTATGTAGATACGTGTGCATTACAATAACCCTTCAAAAGAGAGGATGTGTGAGCTGGTTCTTTGGTTCTGCCCATCTTATGCTGATGCACAATCAGCGATTGGAATCCTGTTGCATAGTTACATATATGCCTTATTTTTCTGTTTATAAAACAATGTATAAGATGAACCTCCCCTTTTCTAACCCCAAATTAGAAAAAGCAGGGATCAAAGGGCTCCCTTTTTACTAAGCCCCGTGTCTTGGCAAAAGGCAAGGAAATCAGCTGTGAATGTGACTGCCACTTTTCCTTGCCTTTTGAGAAGGCACAGAGCATAGCAAAAAGGAAGGGAGCAACACCTCCCCTTTCTTTTTGCTAAGCCCCATCCCTTTGCAAAAGGCAGCACTTTTATACATGGAAAAATACAGAACAATGCGAAGCAGTACAGCAATTGCTGGGGGAAGGGCAGCCAGGCAGAAGAGATATTCACAAAACACTTTTACGTGCACAAAGAAACCCACATAATAAGGACCTGTAGGAGTCGAAGGTGGCAGGGCTGACGGCTATAGCCCAGAAAGGGAGATTTCTGACCACCAGTGTGACACAGGGCATGTTCTCCTTAAAGATGCCAAAGACAGCCCTTTCCATAAGTCTGAGGAAAGGGCAGGTAGCTGAAGAGGAGCTAAAGTATCATTACAGCCAGTGTGGCAGAAAGTAAGCTCTGTCACGATATGCAAACATTTACATTACATGAAGCTGAACTAGATTTCAGCCCTTATATGGACGTATGCAGAGATAATTAAGAACACAACCACTGCTGGGAAAATAAATCACTACATGTATGGGAATGTAGCACTTAAAAAGAAAAACAATGATGATAATGATATATAATACCTGATGTTGGTATTGGCTTATACAGCTCCAGATATTGCTCGCCATGTAACACCTACAGTAAAATAGTAGTAGCATTGGTGACACAATTGCTATTAGTTTTCTTTTGCAATCTCTATTGCTCCTATTTAGAAATTATTTAAGAGGAAATCCATTTCTACTATGTCAACACATGGTGACTTTATTCATTCACTAGTTCATTTGTTCATTCATTTATAAATGCTCATCTACCAATAGAAGAAAATTCTGATATGTCTCCCTACTAGACTTTGCTATATGCAGAAATAAAGTGGTCTAGTAAAGAAAGTATAATTTTATATGCATACGTGAAGCAAAACACAGATGCCTACAGTTACATTTAACAGTCAGTTCTTGCCTCCTTGCCCCCAAGAGATGTTCTTTTAGCTGTTAAAACACAATGAAAGTAACAAGGCATCATTACTGTCTACATTTTACAGCCCCATAAACATTCAGTGTTTGAAATTGATATATCATCAGATACAGAAGACACAGAGATGTTCTCTCTGACTTGTATTTATAGGGCAGTTCTTGTTTAATGCACCCCCCATTCCCTCTCGCCAAACCTGCAATATCTTGAGTAATCTTCAAAGAAAATGGCATGCTGTAGTTGCTCTTTGTCTCCTCCTTCATGTCTATAATTAAGTGTTAAAGAAGGATGCTTTGGCACCTGTGAATGCTTGCCCAAGTCTTCCCCCAGGTTAAAGGAGAAACACATACACAATAGTCAAAGCAGTGTTTTCAATATCTCTTTTTTTCCTTCACAATAAATTCCGACTCACATTACAACGTTGTGACACTGAGGAGATAATATATTGAAGTATTGCTTTACAGGCATTTGGAGTCCTCCAAGCAACAGCCAGTGATGAAGCGTCAACTGGGTCCAATCAATCTCTAGTTTCATCACTGTCTAAACTGGAAAACGTTACTGAGGAAAAAGAGCAACTGAGGACAGTATGTGCTGCTTTATTTCAAAGCCAAGCTCTAGACTTTATTTGTAGAATTAATGAATACACAGTAGATTTTAAAACTCTCCCTTGTTTCTAAGCATGAAATGATATCACTGTACCTACTGCTTACGGGAAGACTCTTCTGTGAACTCTGTTCAATTAACTAGAACATACCTACCTTAGTAAAATCAATATTGAAGCCAGGAATGCTGCCGAGTCCACCACTGCCAAGCATGGAGGACTGAGCTGGGATCACTCCAAAGGTAGGAAGACAGCAAAATTCTTCATTTCCTTCAAAAAGGAATTTCAGATGATCTGGATCTTTTGTTGACATGCCCACACCAAGTGCATACAAGATGGGCTGCAAATGGCTATATTCATATGCAACTGAAGCGAGTTTGTAGCCAACAAACTTTGCCTGTTGATATTGAAAACAGGAGCTTGCATTTATGTTATTATTACCTTAGATGTACCAGTTATACCACAGCTGGTTGCAAATGTCACTGACAACTGAAAAGAAAAACTCATACATGGCGAATAAGAGTCATGCTTACATGTTCAGAATAGGAAAGTCAACAGAGTAAGTTCTCAGTCTCTCTCAGGCCTTCAATAGGTTGCAAACATGGAATACAACTATGTATAAACTATCATGCTACAGTGGTGCCTCGCAAGACAAAATTCATTCCGTGAGTAGCGCTGTCTTGAGAATTTTCATCTTGCGAAAAGCAGTTTCCCATAGGAATGCATTGCAATGCATTCCTCTGGGAACCTCGCAAGATGAATGAATTATTTTCGTCTTGCGAGGTTAACGGTCTTGCAAAAAAAAAAGTCTAGTGAAGCACAGCCATAGAAGAAGCTGTCTTGTGAGGCACCACAGCAATCGCAAAAACCATTCATCCTGCGGGATTTTCATCCCAAGCACCACAGCAATTGCAAAAACCATTCGTCCTGCGGGATTTTCATCCTACGAGGTGTTCATCTTGCAAGGCACCACTGTACTAGATTTTTTTGAGTGTTATAGTAACTTTTGTGGGCCTTTAAGAAAGGCTGGAATAGAAGCACATTAAAAAAACAACACAGGATTAAACCCAGCTTTAACTCTTAATTAAACATACCAAGGGATTTTCTAGTTTCCAAAATGGCTGAGTTATGCCATGTAGGGCTGATGACATCATCAGATGTTCTGGATATCCACCACTTTTGATCTCTCCCCTGAAGGTCCCAAAGCTCCCGTGTAAACATTATTGCCCTTGAGAAGCCATTGGGAGTTGTAGAGATGAGAAGGGAAGACTTCAATGATTGAAAATCAACCCCTTTACTGGCAATGGTGATTTTTAGTTATTAAATACTTCTCCCTCCTGTCCTGTGGCCTGGGGGGGGGGAGAATCTGCAATGTTTCATTTCAGAAAAATTGTTGTTGCTGCTGATGTCATTATAAGGCTTACATAGCATAACTTATGGCAACAGGATTTTAGCCAGTAAATAAAAGACCAGGGAGGCCTTAAAACAATGGCTCAAGTTTCTCTCCATTGTGATGCATCCAAAAATACTGGTTGGGCATCCAAGTAACCCTTCCTGACAATGGAATGATAGCAGAACAGTGAGACAGCACTAGATGGTTGGAAAACGTAGAGAGGGGAAGCCCTCTTACATGATGTAGGATTTTACCCCTATTGAGCTCCATCAATGTTGTATAGATCACATGCAGACATATACCAAGTAAGAAGAGCAGTCAAGAACCATTCAGTCTTAGGACTGACGGTCAAGGCTGTAATGGAGCATAAGAACATAGAATCTCTTGACCATAAAGTGCCAATTTTCAAATATTTTTAAGGTAATGGTCATGTATGTAAACCAAAACTGCTGCACCTTCCTATAAGCTTTCAAAGACGTACAAGTATATAAGTCAAAAGAAAACAAAAATACAAAAGGAATCAAACAAAACAAAACAAGAGACAAAAATGTTGTGGTACCTTGAAGGCTAAGTGGTATATTTTAATGTAAGCTTTCATGGAGCAAGACCACTTTCTCAGACATGAGAGTGAGACCATATGATTGTCATATTAATACATAGCCCCATGACCAGATGGGGATCTTATGAGCTTGGTTATTACTGTTGCAAAGCTGTTTTCCTCATCTTGCAGGAAACAAAACAGAATTAAGTCTGCCTACTAAGTAAAAGAAACCACAGAGTTGCCAACACCTCACATTATACAAAGTTTCTCAAAATACTTGCCTGCAGTACTTGCACGCACATTGAAGGCAAATATTGTAAAACACAAATTTGGAAGATTTGGACTTGGGGGCAGGGGAGAGAAGTCTTTGTCTTACAGGCCAAAGTTTAGAGAAATTAAAGGTATCTAACAAAATATAAGGACTGGAATACCTGAACTCTCCAGAGAACAAGAAGCAGATTCTCTATTTTCTCCTAAACATTATTTTACAGAACAGAAAAAAAGAGTGGGAGGAATGCATGTTCCTCCCACTCCCTACCTCTAATTCACATTTTTAAAACTTCTGAGACAGTACTCTGCATCATCTGATTCATATGTCAGAACATGCAACTGGATGTCTTCAAGAGGAGGGCCTTGCAGAAGCATTTTTTACTTACCGGGTCGAAGCCTGTGGAGGATGTTGATGTGCTGTAGCTTGTAGGATTCGGGGAGACATCCTGAGATTCTATTTGACTTAGCACGTCATTCAGCAGACTGACTGATTCTGGAAATGGAATGCAAAAAGTTGTGAAACTATCAAAAAAAGAGAGCGGAAGATATCCTTTCTCTACGTACATTCTAAGCAAAACTACAGTCACTGCTGTGATAAGATGCACACATGACATTCTGAAGGCAGTTCTACACTTGTTTTAGCATATAGTTCTAATCATGTTTTTGATAATGCACTTGTAAATGTGGATGCTTCTCTGTTGTGACATTGTGACGATAGATGCAGATTAAGGTGCTGTCCACAGTGAGCAAATATAATATAGATGAAGTTCACTGAAAATTACAAACTGCACATTTTTATATTCTATATTGATTTGACATTTGTCATATAAAAAGCAACTACAGTCGTGCCCTGCTTTACGATTGCCCTGCATTACGACGAAACCACATTACGATGATGTTTTCGCGATTGCAAAATGATGGTCTGAATAGGGGTTTTTCGCTTTGTGATGATCAGTTCCCTGCTTCAGGAACTGATTCTTTGCAAAACGACGATTTTCGGACAGCTGATCGGTGGTTTCAAAATGGTCGCCGGGTAATTAAAATGGCTTCCCGCTGTTTTCTGGGACGGATTCTTCGCTTCACAGGCACCAAAATGGCCACCCTATGGAGGATCTTCGCTAGACGGTGAGTTTCCAGCCCACTGGAATCCATTGAAGGCGTTTCAATGTGTTTCAATGGGCTTTTTATTTTTGCATTACGACGTTTTCGTTCTACAGCGATTTCGCTGGAATGAATTAATGTCGTAATGCGAGGCACCACTGTATAAACAGAAGCATCCTTGGTATAATAGTATCGAAAATGTAATTAATACAATCAAATTCAAAAGCATATTAAAGTCCAGCACTTTAGGATTGGGTACACCACCTATCATTCATGCTCTGAGATGAGGTGCTACGACAGAATTTCTGAGAAACTTCTAAATTCTGAATAAAAAGTATTAGTAATGGAATGCCGAAAAAAACAGGGCACCTGGAAAGGTGAAGCAAACAGAAGAGGGCTTGTACAGGGCCTTAGAATGATGAGCCAGGAAGAGTGACGGCTGAAGTAAAATGACAAAACAACTGGGAAGGCCAAGGAGATAGACAGCAAAAACTTTCCCCATTTTGACCACATTATAAGCTGATTTCTGGACATACAAAAAGAGCTGTGCAACACCTTGGCTAGTGCTTTTTTGAACAATACAGTGGTGCCTTGCTTAACGAGCGCACCGTTTAACGATGAATCCATATAGCGACACGTTTCTGCGATCACTAATGCGATCGCATTGCGATGTTTTAATAGGGAAAACATCGCATTGCGATGTTTTTTAAACAGCTGATCGGTAGTTCCAAAATGGCCACCGCATCTGCAAAATGACAGCCCGCAGCATTTTCGCGCCCTGCCCTCACATACCTGGTGGCCGGATCGAGGATTCCCTGCATAGCGGTGAGTTTTCGCCCCAATAGGAACGCATTAAATCCGTTTTAATGCGTTCCTATGGGGTCCCACCCCGCATAGCGATGAATCTGGATAGCGAGGTTGATCCTGGAACGGATTAACGTCGCTATGCGGGGCACCACTGTATAGTACAAGGAACTGTGATATTATTTTAGGCATGAATACATTGTTTCACAAAGCCAAATTACACGTAACTTCAAACGTACAGTTCTATCCCTGAGTGCTTACTTGCTTCCCAAAAAACTGCCAGTACAAGGAGGTTGAGCTGAATTGGGACCCTACTGGAAGGAGGATTTAACTGCTTGCTCCAATCCAGTCTGCACACACCTCCAATATTTGTAAGCTCATTGGCAGAAAAAGGTCCTGTTTGTATCAAGGATACCTTCCCCCTCTGCCCTCCCCCATCTGTTCTCTCTGACTGGACAGTACACAGTTTTGTTCTCTCCTTCGAGCCATTGTTTTCTACTATGTGTGCATTTTCACAAAGAATACAAATAAGAAAAAGTATTAATACAATGACGGCTGCAGCACTGTGTATTGACGTTCCACTGCCTGGCACAGAAAACTACGGTACATTCCCACCAATAGCATTAGATTTATAGTGGTATTTCAGCAACTGAGGAGGCTGAGTCATTCATGTTATGCAAGGTCACACTTTCAGGGCCTCAGCCAAGAAGCTACAAAAATTGGATTACATGAATTGTCTAAAATGCAAGTGCCTTGTGGCAGTTATCAGCTTGGTCATTAACAGCATAACAAGTAAGAATAACCAAATCTCACATACGGTGATTGAAATGTTGCAGGGTGCAAATTTAAACAAATTATTGCTGCATTAAGTTAAGCTATTACCTAATCTCAAGCGAGGCTGAGGGAGCAACCTATGTGTATGCTAACTGAAAAACGGAGCTTGCCATGGGAAAACGGAGTTCTTGTTACCACTCTAGCTACAACACACATTGTAGATGCAACACTAGACACATTTGCTTAGGTTTAAGTGAGTCCCACTGAATTTACTGATGCTTATTTCTGAGTATGTTTGAGGGGGGGAAGATACTATCTCTCAGCCATCCTAAAACAAATTGGATGTGAAGCTGAAACAAAACACTGAACTTTTGGGAAGAAGGGCAAAGCTTCTTGCACATAGGGAAGAGAGTGACATCTTCCACTTGGCAATTTATTCCTTGTCCTCCTGCCTAAAAGATTCCTCCAGTTGGAATGAGAACTGCATGCTGTTGCACCCTAATTATTTCTCACACTCAAATTAGAGTCTATCTCAACACCTAAGGGCTCACCAGGACCTTCTAATGGGGGGTGGGTTCAACACCTAAGGGCTCACCAGGACCTTCTGGGGGGGGGCTGTAGCCTCCAGATGTACAACTCCCAATATACACAGCCACTACAGACAACACAGAGAGACTGTGGAAGCTGAAGTCCAAAAACATCTTGAAGACAACACATTCCTTGTTCTTGCATTGGGGTGGACCTTCTTCAGGCATTGCAGCAGTGTGCAGGGCCAAGACAGTGCAGGGAGAGTGGGGATAAACTTCACCTACCTCATGTCAGAGTGGTATTTGTTCCTTCTTAATACTTATTGTTTCACATTTAATATTGTATTTTCATGTGGTATTTGTTTGTTCCTTTTTAATACTTATTGTTTCAGGTTTAATATTGTATTTTCACTATGTAAGCTACCTCTTGACACTCATTGTTCTTATCTTTAAATACTGTCTTTTAATGATGTAAACCACCATTGTATACTCATTGTTTTCAGCTTTAAATATTGCTTTTCAATGATGTAAGCCACTCTGGGTCCTTCTTAAGGAGAAAGGGGGGGTAAAAATATTTTAAATAAATAGTTAAATAAATACAGTGGTGCCTTGACTTATAAACTTAATCTATCCCAGAAGATGTTCGTAAGTGGAAATGCTCGTAAGTCGAAGCACCATTTCCCATTGAAATGCACGGGAACGGGATTAATCCGTTCCAGCATTAAAAACAAATACAAACAAACAAACAAACAGAGCAAGTCCCACGCTTGGACTGCAAAAAGAGGAGCGCCAAGGACCGACGTGGCTGCCCCGGTGAGCAGCCACTGGTGCCGGTTCTGGAGCTGGAGGCACCAGCGGCAGCATCGGTCTGTGGAGGGCAGCGAGGAGCGCTGACCCCGGCCTCATTGGAGCCCGTCAGGAGGCGAGCAGCACCTTACCAGTCCGAAGCTTCTGAAGCCTCCCGTGCTTCCGCTGCACTGCGACCACTCGCCTCCCGATGGGCTCCAACTAGGCCGCGGTTGGCGCTCCTTGCCGCCCTCTGCAGGCTGATGGTGGGAAATTCAAATGGCAGAGGGCAGCAAGGAGTGCCCGGCCAGGCTCAACCTCCCAACTCTGGGCCACCCCTGCCACCGCCGGGAGACGAGCAGCTGGGGCACCCAGCCAGGCTCAACCTCATGGCTCTGGGCCAGCCCCACTGCCACCACTGCATCCATTTCCCTAACTGTTGGGGCAAACGAGCTACAAAGAAGCAGCCTCTTCACCACCAACGGTTACTACATTTGAATTTCCCACCCCCTTTCCCTGCCTTTTTCTGTTTGTACGTCAAAGCTCCGTTCGCCAGTAGAAGCAAAATTTTGAAGCCAGAGCTGTTCGTAAGTCAAAATGTTCATAGGCAGGGGCATTCGTAAGCCAAGGCACGGCTGTAATAAGAAGAGACTTCCACATGAATTCCCCACAACAAAGTCAACACTGAACAGTAAATTTGTTAAAGATACTACTTGACTATACGGGAATTCGAATGAGTTTCAATACAAATGGCAAGGTGAATGAGCACATATTAATTTCGCATTAACTAGCTTTTACATTAATATATTGGGACGAAGATGCTATACCAAGGTAACACTGAAATCCCCCAATTTTGTCTTTTCATGATTACTGCTTATGTTCCATTAAAGTAAGATCATTGTAGAGGAAGACTTTTTTCCCAAAATGGTACAGCCCAAATTTCACTGTTATTTGATTCAGGATAAATTAAAATCACTCCACAAACTCAGTGTCCAAATAACCATACACTATTATTAACCACACTTTACAATTCTAATTCTAAGTTATCTTTGCAAATGATAGTCAAATGCTTACACTAATTGCCATTTTTGTATAATTATATATGATGGTTTAGTACATAATGGCTTTTCACAGCATTAAATTACTTACATTAATGCTAGTAATAATTTGTAATTAAATCTTCTGGGACAGCTTGAACTTGCAGATAGAAAGTAACATAGCTTTCATTTTTAATGTGAATACGCTAATTAGTTTTCCTTACTTAACAGTTCAGTGCCTTGAGGCATTAAGGAGAGGTGCTCTCTTACCAAGAAAAACTTTCTCATGTTATTACACTGAAAAATTAAATGAATTAGCCTGTCAGATATGTGAGCCGTTTTCCCTGCCTCTGTTGCTAATTCTCACAGATGAGAGATTTATCAAAGGTGCTCCCATCCAAATTACAGACACATTGCAGGAAGAATATTATTGCATTTTTACCTAGTAGAAAATGTAATACTGGATCCACTAAACTAGCATGTTAGAATAAGGTTTTCACTTTTCACACACAACAATCCATAGAAAGATCTGGTGATTTATATAATCAGAGCTTATGGCTGGAGTTCACACTATCAGTATTTTAAACACATACAGTGGTGCCCCGCTTAAAGATTACCCCACAGTACGACAAATCCGCTTCATGACATTTTTGCGATCGTAAAACAATGGTCTAAATAGGGTTTTTTTGCTTTGTGATGATCGGTTCCCTGCTTCGGGAACTGATTCTTCGCAAAACGATGTTTTTTAACAGCTGATCGGCAGTTTCAAAATGGCCGCCAGGTAATTAAAATGGCTCCCCGCTGTGTTTAGGGACGGATTCCTCGCTATACAGACACTGAAAATGGCCGCCGTATGGAGGATCTTCACTGGATGGTGAGTTTTTAGCCCACTGGAACGCATTGAACAGTTTTCAATGCATTTCAATGGGGCTTTTTATTTTCGCTTTACGATGTTTTTGCTTAACAGCGATTTTCCTGGAACCGATTATCGCCGTTAAGCGAGGCACCACTGTACTTAATTTGCATTTTATGTCTCAATGAATAGAAGAACTGGCAACATTCATTAGGTAGCAAGGATTCTTGGTACATTCTTATACCTAAAGTCCAGCTTGCTTTGATAGGATATGGGGGGAAAGGAGGCTAAAGGGAATGGCCCCCTAGTTTAAGAAATCAACAGGGGTGAGGGTTAAAAATAGAGAAAGACAAAGGCCCACAGGAGCATCTTCCTATCCACTTATATCAGACTCCTCTCCCCTCTACCTGCCAACAACTAGTGTATGCATGTTAATTTGAGCTTGGAGAAGGTAGGGAGGATGTGGGAATTTTTCGGGGGGGGGGGAGAGAATCATTTCAAGAATCCATCAGCCAGCACTGCCACTTCTTTAAAAGCTAAGTATGAATCTCTCTGTGCCATGAACAGTGCCAATCTTGGCTGGTTCCTGCTATCCAGCAGTCAGTCCAAAAGAAGGTACAGTGGGGTCTTGACTTAAGAACGGCTTGAGTTAAGAACATTTTGACTTAAGAACCACTCTCATAGGAAAATATTGACTTGACTTACATATTTAGATTTGAGTTAAGAACTGAAAAAAACCATGTGGGAGGCAGGGAAAGTGCAAAATTTGAACTTTCAGTTAACTGTTGGCCAATGAAAAGGGTGCCTGTCTGCTTCCTCACTCCTCCCAGAGTTTAGAGAGTGGATTGGGAGACAGTCTTCAGACTGCCTGGTACTGCCTGGACTGTCTTTTCCCTGCCTTCCCTGAACCTTTCTTGACCTAAGAAAAAAAGAAACAAAATATCCCCCTCTAGTGGTCGACGGCAGAATAGCAGCTTCCCATTAGTTTCTATGGACGGAAAAGAGCAGATACGGATCAAATGGGTTTCAATGCATTCCTATGGGAAATGCAGATTTGACCTGAGAACGTTTTGACTTGAGAACCACCTTCCAATACGGATTAAGTTCTCAAGTCAAGACCCCACTGTATAAGATTAATCCTAAACTTTGAACATTTCTGGATCTGATAAATTAGAAGACAACTAAGGGTTCTTCCTACCACCTAGTCGACAGTTGCCATACCAATATTTTTGTCTCCTTTAACAAGCTTAGGGTTCTTGATTTTTAGTAACACACCAGGTCTTTTCTGACTATGATTTTGCACTTTGTGGAATTTTAAAATTTTTACAAAAAAGGGAGAAAGCCAAACCTGAAGAGAACTGCAGCTGCTCTAAACCTTTTGAGTCAAAAGTATATGGTCTGAATTGCAAAATGGCTTTACCTACAATTTTAAAACAAAGGCTAAAATCCTGTTGCATAGCTCTGCATGTGCAACAAGGATGATATCATCATCCATGCCAAACTGTTGCTGAAAAAGGGTGATTTCATGCCTCATACACAATGCTGCAAGGTCGGGTACCTCTCAAAATCCACAAAGGAAGCCTTTAATCAGTAGCGACCTTCCACTGCTGATGACATCATCATTACTACCCTGTTTCCCCGAAAATAAGCCCTAATATGATTTTTCAGGATGCCTGTAATCTAAGCCCTACCCCCAAAATAAGTCCCAGTTAAGTGCAACCTCACACTCCAACATTGTGCAGCAAGCAGAAGATGATATGACTCTGTTTGAATAAATGTAGATTGTTGTACATGAAAAAAAAACCACCCCCTGAAAAATAAGCCCTAATGCTTTTGTTTTTGAAGCAAAAATTAATATAAGATCCTGTCTTATTTTCGGGGAAACACGGTATATACACAGAACTACTTGACAGGATTTCAGCCACTGAGTCTTTGGGCTGGGATATCTGATTATTTTAGTCTTGGTAACACTTTATTACCAAGTAATTCAGCAGAGATAAAAACAAACTCCTACAAGATTCACCGATGTCCATCAGAAAACAAACACAGGTGTCAAGTTACTACACTGCTGTTCAGCCAAGCTAGTGGACTTCTGGAAAATAATGTTACATAATCTTTCTTGTAACATTTTCCTTGTGTGCTGTATTATAAGATCTGACACTACTTAAAATATGATCTATGTACCATGAAGTTCTTGATTATTTTGCAAAGATAAAACAAAAACAGGTTTACTCTTTCTACAGATTCTTCCATGGTAAGAAGATCAAAGTGATTACTAAAAGTGCTGTAAATGTAAAGCCAGTTAGATACCTTGGATAGTTCGAGGATGTGCAGCATTATCAAAGTTACTTATCTTTTCCCAATTATTTCGCACATCTTCTGGTGTCATAGGAAGGTTCTTCTGTCTGACAATGGCCCCCAAAGTTCGTTCCCAGCGTACTAAAAGAATAGCAAGAAGAGAAGTTGAACCATTTAAAATGGCTGCCACCACAAAACAGAATAATTTCACTGTGTTTTTTGCGACTGTTGTTAAAGAGTAGATTTTTTTTCCTATTAAAACAGGAGTCTATATCACTGGTTCCCAACCTTGGGTCCCCAAACGTTCTTAGACTAAAAAAAATCCTACTCAGCACTGCTAGTAGTGAAGGCTTCTGGGAGTTTAGTCCAAGTAAATGATTACTGAGTGAATGGGATTTTTAAAAGGGATTGTTTTACCTTTCTGCATTGAATGTATTTTGGTGTTGCTTATGTTTTTGGTATTGTATTCATTGATCCTTTTAGTACTGTATGCTCATTGTTACTAATTGAAACACTGCCTTTTGACAGTATTTAAGTTTAGTAACAATGAGCGTACAATACTACAGCTATCTCGAGTCATTTTTAAGGAGAATTTAAAATATTTTCAATAAATAAAATAAACAAACATCTGGGCATCCTAGGTTGGTAACCCTTGATCTAGATTATGCTTCACTATTGGTGGCATAATCAGTGGATTTGTCCACGAAAGTTCGTATTAGATTTTAGCAGTTAGTGCTTAAGGTGCCACAATGTTTTCTTAATTTTTTCCTTTTTGTTTTGCTTCTACCTGATATATTGGTGGGAGGAAACACATCCAACCAATATATCAGGTAGAAGCAAAACAAAATTTTGTTAAACATACTTAGATCACAAATAACGCAAAATAAAATGTGAGAATCTACTGCAACTTTGCAGGTGTTACAGGATTATAAGGGCGTCCCAGCTTTTATCTGTAGCCCACACCATTCTGAAACTGAAGAGCAGACAACATCTAAAGAGAACAAAACCTCCCTTTCAATCTCATATAAAGTTCTGTTAAAGTTTATGAGCCTCTGTTCAATAAATGTTATATGTCCTTTGAGCTTCTTCTTCTTTTTTTGATAGCCGAGAGTACATTAATGCAGCATCAAGATTAGCCTATTACCAAAAAAAGAAAACCAAACATAAGCAGAAGAGAGAAAGTGCATTTACAGCACTTGTGAAATATGCTCAGATGCTCAGACTTCAACAGGGAGTGTTACAGATGCAGCACTTGCTGAAAAGCGCAACACTTCTACCACTGGAGTCAAACGAAGACAGTCCATATTTACAGACAGTAATGTGGTGCTATGCTAAGGAGATTTAGCTAAAGAGACAAACCCGTTTCTTTTATAACACTGGACAATTACCATGGAGATCCAGTCAGTTCTATTCCTTAACTTAAAATGGCCCAAATATGCCACACTTCATATTCAATTGCATTTTTTTTTCAAATTCAAAATCCTACTGGACAGGACGTGCGAAAAGACTTACATTTTCCAATCCATCCAGCACCGACCTGCAATATAAAAATTGAAAAGTCAATACTGTATATCAAGCATAGTTGAAAGGACAGGCACACTATCCATACTGGTGAAAACAACCTCTCTTCCTTCAGATGGAATGATACAATGCCCTACATTTCTGATAACTACTTTGGAATGTTAAGGCAAAATAGATATAAAGTCCTTTGGATGAAGAATCACTTTTCCCTTTTCCTTAACTACTAAAAAGCCAGGATGTTAAACTACAGTTTGACATTTGATAACGACAGGTTACCCACCTGTAATTGTAGTTCTTTGAGTGGACCTTTATGATTGGGTGATCCGTGCCTGCGTGGAGCCTCATCGGAAAGTTCTAGAGCTTCTGTGGTAGCAAAAACACATTAGAATAAGGCCCCTCTCACCTCGTATAAGTACCTTGGCGCCAAGGTTCCCCTTTTAGTTGTGTCAACTGCCATGAGGCAGATATGATGTGCTAGGCACCACTACCAAAGGTTGACCGCTAAATAGAGGAGACTTGGAGAGTGCGTGCTACCTTGTTTCAGAATATAGTACATCGCCGTGGCGTTGTCGGTGGCAATTTGTACCATCTTGCCAGCGAGATTTCTGAAAGCTTTGCAAGCTTTTATAACCGCCAACAGCTCTAATTCATTGATGTGAAACAACTTCTCTCTGGAAGACCACTTGGCGTGGATTTTGAGAGATTTGCAGTGAGCTCCTCAGCCTGTGAGGTGGAGTCGGTGGTGACCTGTATTTGTGGTCGTGGTTGTCGGAACGGCCACCCGACGGATAGGTTGGGAGGAAAATGCCACCACTGAAGCTGGGAGGTGGATTCTGGGGTGACCCTTAAAAGAGTGTGAGGAGGGTCTATGAGCAGATCAAAGAGGGCAAAAAAAACCACGACTGAAGAGATCTTATCTTGAGATGTACGTGTTGCACTACTGAAGTCATAGAGGCCATGGTTCCTAGTACACATTGCACAGTCAAGGCGGGTGCCATAGCATGAGGTTGGTTCCTAGTACACATTGCACAGTCAAGGAGGGTGCCATAGCATGAGGGGTGAAAACTTGAAGTAATGCGATGAGATTTTCTCTCTTGTCTGGAGGAAGAAAGGAACGAGCTTGTGTGGAATCTATGCATGCACCTATATAATGAATAATCTTTGTAGGTTTCAAATTTGATTTTTGTTCGTTGACAGCGAGACCAATACTGAGCTCACAAAGGTGGGTAAAGGTGAAGTGAGTGTCTCGTTGGGCCTTGCGATAGGACTGAGCTACGAGGAGCCAATCATTGATACATGGAAATATGAGAATTTTTTGCAACCTGAGTTTTTTTATTTCCTCTTGTAGGGCTGGAGATGGTGGACACATGTTGCAGGAAGAAGTCGGAAGAAATGGATGTGGTAGCCACCGCAGATGATGGACAGTACCCAGGCATCTGTAGTGATGGATTCCCAGGCAGGTAGGGCAGGATAGGTGGAGTGGTATGTGATCTCAGTCATGGGAGCATCAAATGTGATGTTTGGGCTTGTGGTCGTTGTGCCTGGTAATGGGTTGTTGGCGTTTATTTCTTTGATTTCAGAAATAGGATGCATAAGATGTTTGTTTTGGAGGATCACGTTGGAATTTTTTATATAGGTTGTACGGTTGTCTCCACTGATGTTGTTGGGGGCATTGTTAGTAAGATGGATAAACTCCCCAACGTCTAGCTGCTGATATTTTCTTTGGCACTTTTTCCAAAATATCATCAGTTTCAGCATTAAAGAGGCCTACCCCATTGAATGGAAGGTCTTCGATACGTGCACAGGCATCCTCAGCCAGGCCAGCTGTCCTTAGCCAAGAGAAACATCGTAAGGCTACTGAAGTGGCCTTTGACTTTGCTGTGTCATCTCCCATGTGCCCAGCAGAAAGCATCTGTTGTTTGGCAACAGAAATACCTTGTTGAAAGGTATGGGCTAGTACTTTTTTATATTCTGGTAAGACAAAGATTGACACATTGTCCGAAAGGAAATGTTGATATGCACCAAAGGCTCCCTAGTAGTTACCGACATGCATGGTGAATGCTGCTGATGAATAAAACCATCTTCCCATTGAGTCAATCCTTCTACTGCCTTTATTTGGTGGTATGAGGGCTTGTCGATGTTGAGATCTGGATTGTGAGGCTTCAACAAAAATAGAGTTTGGAGCTGGTTGTTTTTGAAGAAATAGAGCTCCAAGATCATGGACTCTGTAGAGCTTATTGATTCGTTTAGACATGGTATGGGAAGATGCTGGTTTTGTTCAGGATCATTGAGCGGTGCTGAGTAGAGACGGAAGCATCAAGATGTGTACTGGAGTAGTTGTATTTTTAGAAATTGGGTCGTATAGATCAGTGGTTCCCAACCTTTGTTACTTGGATGTTTTTTAACTGCAACTCCCAGAAACCCCAGCCAGCACAGTTGGTGCTGAAGGCTTCTGGGAGCTGCAGTCCAAAACTCCTGAGTAACCCAAGGTTGGGAACCATGGGTATAGATCACTGGTCCTCAACCTTGGGCCTCCAGATGTTTTTGGACTTCAACTCCCAGGAATCCTGGCCAGCAGAGGTGGTGGTGAAGGCTTCTGGGAGTTGTAGTCCAAGAATATCTGGAGGCCCAAGGTTGAGGACCACTGGTATAGATGATCGGCTGGTTCTGTCGAAGGACAGTGGATTTGGAGATTGAGAGACTTAGCCATACAGATCATAAGTTGGGCGTAAGTTTGGAAGTCTTCCACTGGTGATGGTGGGTCGGCATCAACAAGGTCGGATTCCAGTGAGGTAAATAATACTGACAGTGTCTGAGATCTGGATCTGTGATCAGAATAATTGGGATCGCGTCGGGAGTTGGCGGATTGTTGATCGACTTCTGTGTCGATAGGTTGAGTGTCATAGTATTGCCGTTTGTGGCTCGATGTCAATGGAGTCGCCATATCCATGGACATGTCAGTGTCGAGGATTTTTGATACCGAGAGATGTCATCGAGTGTCCATGGACGTTGTTTGATATGGTTGTACGTCAGTATCAGTATTGGGGTCATAGTGATGTCAAGTTCGATAGGTTAGTTCTATCGGGTGACGGAAATCATGTGTTGATAGAGGGACAGAACGAGTGTCCATGGACCAGGATGGATACTGAGGTTCATCGATTTCAGAGCCTGTGTCTCAGTGATGTCGAAACGGAGGTTGTAGACGAACTGGTAAAGCAGTAGAGTATACAGACACTGGAGATGCCGTGCGAGAGGACTAATTTCCCTTGTCTGGATTAGAGGGAAAATATTGGGAGGCTGGAGCTGTAAAAGCCTCACGTGTAGAAGAAAATTGCTCATCCGTTCTGAGTCTTTTAGTTGCCAGGTAGGGAGCAGGTTGGAGTCCATGTGTGTCATAGTGATATGGACATTTCGACACCAATGGCTGTCGAGATTGAGGCCTGCCATGAGAAGGTATGGCCGAGCTGGATAGAGCAACTGGCTGATTGGTGGTTGCAGTCTGTCCAGTAGAGCACTGGTTGGGGCAAATGGCAATTCGATGAAAGTGCTGAACGTGGGTCTGAGCCACGCATGATGAAATAAACGGCTCGAGGGACTGCTGGGGCTGATGTCTCTGAGATCGCCGTAGTGGACAATCAGATGTTACCAAATAAGGTATGGTCTCTAGTTCTTGTTCGGAGTTGATCCTGTCAGATGAAGCAACTATGGAAGGGTTGCTCAAAAGAACAGAGTGTTGGGGACTGGGAGGAGAAGATGTTAATCGATCGATTCTATCATCCCATTCCGCTGATTGGTAGCAGGGTTGATGACAGGGGATTCCGTTATCGTCAGAAGGAGAACCAATAGAGATTGATTTGGCGGTCTTTTGAAGCTGCTGAGAGATGACTGCAGCTTTAGATTTATTTTGCTTAGGTCTTTTAGACGGAGAAGGGTCCGGAACCAAAGAGGCTTTGGTGGACATTTGACATTTAGTGGAGGGCTTCGATATCAAGCGCTTTGATTTATAGGGTTTTGAAGTTTTAGAGGAAGTGGGCGGACTGTCGGCATGGGATGGTGTGGTCGATGGACGTTGTTTTGAGGCTTCAGTAAGAGCCTTCTCCATTGCTTTAGTTTTTGAGGTGGCCGTACAAGGAAGTTAGGCCATTTTGGTTGGTTGAAGGGATTGTTCTCAAAGATGGAGTTTTAATCTGGATAAGCAAGAATGAAGCACTCCGCTCTTGAAGTTCTTATAATGCTGGCAGGAGGACATCTGGTGTGCCTCTCCCAAGCAAAAAAGACACTTGGCGTGGCCGTCAGAGAGTGGTCCTTTGTTATCACAGACTGCGCAGTGTTTAAACCGGCCCAAAGGGGCCATGAAAAGGAAAAAATAATTTGAGGAGAAAAAATGATGATGGGGGGTGCTGCGGCTGGAGGCCAAGCAAAGTAGAAAAGAAAAAATCTATGATGATAATTAATTTCATAAAAAAGTTTAAAGGAAAATATTGATAAAAGGAAGGAATCAAGAATAAACTCTCTCTTTTACTCACAGAAGCAGAACTATGAGGCTCTCAACACAGCAGTTGAAAGAAACTGAAAGGGGAGGCTTGGCATCAAGGTACTTATAGGAGGGGGGAGTCGCCTTATTCTAATATGTGTTTTTTTTTGCTACCGCAGAAGCTCTAGAACTTTCCAATGAGGCTCCACGCAGCCACAGATCACCCAGGATGTGAGTCACAGAGGCCACGAAGAAGAACCTGGCTTGCTCTAAATCTGATAATCACAGATATTGTTTCCACCTCCCACATGATCTTCCTTCCTTCCATCTGGATTTATGTCATCAAACACAGAGTTTACCAAGAAACACTATGGTACATTTACTGACAGAATGTTTGTCAGGAAAGCAGGAACTCGAAATACATGCCGTACCTTGCCCAGAATGTAAAACCTCTCTCCAGCACTGTTTAATAGTTTAATCCCTTCTGTCACACTGAGATTGAAGAATCCAAGAAAAGCACAGCTGTTTCTACCCATGTGTTTCAGGTGAAAAAGCCCAACAATAAATGGCTTCACATTAGCATTCAGAACTATGGATAAATTTCAACATACTGAGCATGTAGCTATATGCATGCACAGCTTCAGCCACCACACAAGGACAGATTCTTGCATTTATTAATGTTCAGCAAGTACTTGAGTACAAACCTCCAGATGGAGGAAAGCAGAATGAGCTGCAAGGGTATAAGTAAGTGTCAAGAAAAGATAACACCAAAACATTACCTCAAAGAGTCCACTATTCTCTTGACAGTTTTCATGACAAAGCCAAAGGACCAGAGGTGCCACGTATTCTGGCTTAAAAGCATCCAACATATCTAGGTGAGATAAAAGTTTAAAATAACATATATCATAAATTAAAGTACAGTACATTCTGAGGAAGTCAAATGCCAGGCTTAAGTTATGTAACAGCCCTTTCTCAAGGAATCTGACTCCCCACCTTATTCCTCTTCCTGTAGTCTGGAAACTACTTGGTATGATGAACCATATGAGATAACAGCATTACCCCAAAGTAGCTAATCAGTATTTGTAAAAGTTAAGCAACAGAAATACAAAGGTAGACAGTGGAATGCAAAAGAAAAACAACAGCAGCAATGAAGGGCGGTTGCTGTGGGAACAAGGAAGAACAGCGCTTAACATCTCACGCAAACAGCAAAAGGCTTCATGAGGCATTTGATACCATTTCTCTAAAAGGTCAGGAAGCTTTTGTTGAATACGCTACATGCAAAATGGTCCCTTAATTAGTACTGTATTAACTTTCCAAATATCCACCTTTTTCCTTATCCTTCAATATTTTAAAGCTTTTTTTTAATTTATGAAAATTTTTGAAATGTTGTATGTGTTGGCTGCTGGGGGAGAAGCAACTTACGTGTTACATTCACACACTTAACATAGAAAAAATAAGGAAAAAGTAACTCAGAATTCCCCTTCATGGATTGCTCCCTTGTCATGGCGAAGGGGCTTGAGTAATTCAGAGAAGCTATGGGCTATGCCATGCAAGGACACCCTAGATGGATAGGTCATAGTGGAGAGTTCACAGTAAACGCGATCCACCTGGAGCAGGAACTGGCAAGCCACTCCAGTATTGTTGCCAAGAAAACTCCATGGACAAAAACAAAAGGCTAAAAGATATGACACTGGAAGATGAGCACCTCAGGTCAGAAGGCGTCCAATATGCTACTGACGAAAATTACAAGTACAGTGGGGTCTCTACTTAAGAACTTAATCCGTATTGGAAGGTGGTTCTCAAGTTGAAAAGTTCTTATGTTGAATCTGCATTTCCCATAGGAATGCATTGAAAACCATTTAATCCGTATCTGCTCTTTTCCGTCCATAGAAACTACAGTGGAACCTCTACTTAAGAACTTAATCCGTTTTGGAATGGTGTTCTTAAGTTGAAACGTTCT